CCAGCTAAAACAAAACCCCCTCCAAACACACAGATGATGACAGCTGTGATTAATATCTTCAATGAAATTGATTGTCATATTTAAATGAAAAAAAAAAATCAAATACACCTCTCGTAACATCATCAAATTTACTTCTCGTTTCCAAAAGTTTCAACACTCCCCCTCTGTACTTTTTGACCATCAATAATTTATTTGATAGAGGCACTAGCCATCCATGTTCTTCCCCCGGGGCAGTGTCACTGACTGTAGTGTCTTTAGGCCATTCCCAAAGGGGGGACATTTTTCGCTCAAGCATAGTAGAATTGTAAATGGGCTGATTCATGTCACGCTCATAACTGTGCCTGATCTACTACAGGGAACTGCTGCTTTTTCTTTCTTAATCCTTACTATTGTCATTTTCCTCTACTTTTTTTGTATGTTTGTCACTCTCTTATGACCTGCTATTTCCAGGGTGCCTTGATAGTTGAAGCAGACCTTGTGCTGTTGAAGCTAGAGAGGTGAGCTGAGTAAGTCTGATTCCCTGTAAAGATTTCTCTGTTGACACCCACCCCTTGGCGCTCATATGACCTTATGCAGTTGCGAGCGCCATATAACCCTCTACTTTAAAAAAAACAACAAAAAAACATCCATGTTCAAGTGCTGTTTTACTAGCCATCAAGACTTTTTCTCGATCATCTTCGCCAGGTGGTATGTACGGTGGTGCCAACATCATCAAGTCCCGCCTCCTGCCATGGCTGGGCCAGAACTTCTTCACCTCCGGCGGAGCGGTCACCGCAGACACCAGTCTCAGCGTGCTGGCCGAGGCCGCCGCCAAGGACAGGGAACTCTCCGACCTGCAGGAGATGTACGAGAAGTCGCTGGACGACCTTGACATTGAGCTGCAGAGTGCGCGCAACGAGAACCAGGATCTCAAGGATGAGTAAGAAACTTTGAGAGGAACAAAAATTTTTAATGTAAATTTTATAGGGTTTCAAGCAGCTTCCTTGAATTCAAGGAGTCATTGAAAATTCCTTGAATTTGCATTCAAGGAAAAATCCCCTTGAAAACCCTTTGAATTTGGGGAACCTCCTTGAAGACTTATTGAATTTCGCCGGATCGGACATGAACCAAATTTTTGTGGGAAAATCAAAACTGCAATTCTTTTCGGACAAGTGTAAGCCTATCGGAAATAGGCTTTCTGCATGAATTTCTTTACCAAATCTCCGTGAATTTTAAACATTTCTCCTCGAGACCTCTTTGAAATCTTCTTGAATTTGGTGGGGGGTTCATGGCATATTAATAATTTAGAGCAAAATATCTCTTTCTTTTATTTGAGACTGTGCTCTCATGGATGAGTAAAGGATCATGATGGGGAAAATACAAAACAAAATATTACATGTATCGTGGAAATGGTAGCCTGTAATTCATATTGGAGCGTCAAGTGTTAGAAGATTTCATTCACCGTAATAATATTGTTGAGTGGTGGTGTGCTCACTTCATATCAGGATGTATGGGCTCACCTCTTTTCTTTTCCAGGGTTCAACTTTGACTTGTTCAGCAACAGGTTTTGCAGCTATAGATCCTGGTTTCTGGGAAGTTTCATCGTAAATAATGAGGTTTTAACATTATTGTCTGGACAAGTTCTCTACTGTCAGCTGTTTTTTTTCCCCCAATGTACATATTTCTCCTCCACAACAGATGTTACTCTGTTTTCAAAAGAGTATGCGCTGGTGGGTGAATTAGATATGATAGCCCTAAAGAAAGACAAGTCAGGCAGGGAAAGGATAATCTTCAAGCATTAGATGACATTAATTAGAGATTTAGATAAGTGTAGTTAGATAAGATATAAGAGTATACAACTTCAAAAGCTTTCTGATATAAATAGACAGAAAATAATGGTGTTGTGATATGTTAGGATTATATAAGTGAAGAAAGAAATGGGGAAATGGTATAGGTTTAATGTCCCCGTCAACAATCCTAGGTTATTTAAGAGGTAGGACCTCCGAGTTTAATGTCCATCTCCGAAAGGACCGAGACAAATGGGAAATTTGTGTAAAATGCATTTCCCAAGGACACAACGTCGGATGAACTGATGCTCGAAACCCTAAACTCACAATCTCATGATTATGAGTCCAGTAGCCTAACCACTTGGCCGTCAATGCCACTGGATTGTATAGGTGAGGAGGAAGATAGAATTAACAGAGATAAAAGGTAATTTCTTATAGGATAAACGAGGACAAAAACAAGATTGTAAGACATAACACTCTAATTTTCCTTCTCAGACTCCAGTGGGTGGTTGGCAGATGCTCTGGTGTTGTTTGCTTCTTCTTTCCCATCAAACATCTATGGTCCTTATCTCTCCTCCTCCTTTTTTTGTGTATGTTTACTCTCTTGTAACGCATCTATTCTTCGGCACTTATATGACCTTATTGTGTTGCAAGTGCCTTAAAACTCTTCATCATCATCATCCGGTGCCTTGCTGAATGGCATGGACAATCATGGACCTCCACTTCACTTGCAGTAATGGTGTCTGTCGTTCTTGCTGTTCCCTGTCATGTTGTCATCTTGTCCAGTATCTTTCTCCCTCTGTCTGCCTCTACCTCTCTTTCCATCAAACTTTCCTGTTGCCGTTACAATATTCTCCAATGCTTCTTACCGCATTGTGTGTCCAATGAAATTTGCTTGTCACTTTCGTAAAACTTTTATTAAAACTAAACTAAACCTCCTCAGACTCCAGGAGACGAAGCTTGAGCTGGACCGCAGCGTGCGCGCCTCGAGCAGTGACAAGATGTTCACAGAGCTGGAGGTCAACGACCTGAAGCGCAAGTGAGTGTGACGAGACGGAAAGCCGCTGCTGTCCCGGGGCTTAACGACGTTGTATCTGACAAAAACACGTTTTTTTGTTTTTTGTTTTTTAATGATTTGTTTCTCTAGTCTTGCTCGATACCTTCATGTATCGAAGACAGGACAACATATTTGCATGTTCATTTGAAGTACCAGTTTTCAAAGTGGTTAAGCTATGTAAGTGACTGGTCTCAATCCCATTGTTGATGGCTGAGTGATGCATCTACATTTCCACGCAACAGCATTTAGAAGCTGAAGGTCGGCTAAGCATCAAAAGTTTTTCGCATTTTTCTCTAAATTATGAAATGTGCAGATAAAATTTGCTCTGTCTTTGGCTGGCAGAGTGAGAGTGGTGAATGTGTGTGTGTGTGTGTGTATTTGTGTTTGTGTGTATGGGGGGGGGAGGGGGGGGTTGCAATAGCAATTGGAAAAACAATTGCAAAACCAGGTGAAAAAATGTTGTTTTCTTCTATTTCATTATTTTGACGAGAGCTTGATGTCACCACGATGCCTCACATATTTTTGTCATCAGTTTCAGAAAAATATTTCATTTTCGAAACGCTCCCCAAAAAAGAAAAGCGCCCTGCCTTTATAAGACTTCTGACCTCAGTACAAATTAAATATTCCCAGATTGGCTTCCGCTGAAGACGAGGTGCGTACCCTCCGCACCAAATCTGGGCTACTGGCCGAGTACCAGACGGAGGTCCGTCGTCTCCGTGACGACATCGCTCTGCTATCAGCCCGCAGGGATGTACTTCTGCGCACGCCAGAGCTGTCCAGCTACGAACCCGTTCGCAGCAAACTGGAGGACAAGCTCAGGTAAGTTGTTTTAAAAAAATATTTTGGGTGTTTTTTTTTTGTAAGTGTTTTTATGGTGGCCGAAACGGTGTCAGGTCGTACGGGCGCGCGGGACACATTAAGAATTTTCAGTTTCGTAGGAATTTATTTGGAATTTTCCCGGATGGCGGCGGAAGCGTACTCCTATCGACTTTAAGACCAACAAGGGATCTTTAACAAGCGCGATTTGCACATGTGACATCCAAATTTTTTTGGCCCTTATTCAAGAAGGCTAAGTGTTGGATTTTATGTACCCTAAGATTAGGAGTGTTGCTGAAAGACAGCAGTAAGAAGGAGCCAAGAAGTAGCAATAGAAAAGCTGCAGAAAGAGTCAGAGAAGAAAATTGTTTGTCGCTGTCAGGTTTTGAACATGGGACCTATTGAATTAGAGGCAAACCCTGTGCCTCTAGGCCTCGAGAGCCCCCTCAGGTAAATCTCTGTGTACGAGGAATGTAAATGTCAGCTTTTGGCTCGATGTGGCTGTCTGGCAGCTCTTCTGTGTATGAGGCACATAAACTTCTGCTTTTCGCTCGATGACGCCCGCCATCCTATGGCTGATGGAGAAACGTGGTAGTGATCTTCAGGTCAAGCCAAGAGCATTGATTTCCCTGAGGGACTTAACTGCAAGTTACTATAGACCTCTCTTGCAATTAAGCGGTGGTGAAAAGCAGTGCTTCTAACGAGTAACAGACAGAAGTGCATACATTCGCTAAGAGTTCATTGGAGGATAGTACCAAAAGCTGTATTATAGATAAGGGGGTCACTTTTGCCGTTTTCAACTCTTCAAGCATGATGAAATCAACCTTTAGTTGTAAAGAAAGTTTGAAATTAAAAGTAAAGAATGCGATGAGGGACTGATCATTTGTAAGGGGCAAACAGTCTGGGTACTCAAGTTTGTGGTTCTTTTATCTCATTGAGATCATCCCCGTTCTCATTACTTCTTCGGATGTTGTGTGTGACCTTCTTATATATATATATTTATATACAT